AACCTACATGGTCCTATTAGTCAATGTCACCCCAATCAATTTAAATATATATATACTAAATTCGTGCAAAGGGCTCAGCCCTCGCAGCCCCGGCTTCATCCAGAAGGTTGTCCGGACGGTCGTCAGGATGGTTGTCTGGAAGGTCATTCTGGTGTTGGTCTAATTAGCATATTAGCTCTTTATTATATAGGACACGGACAATAGTTTAGTGAAGGGCAAGGGAGGGTGGAGTGAGTGGAGGTGGGCAAAGGGCAGGGAAAAGGGGGACACCCAAAATTATGTCAACATTAAAAATTTTTACTAAAAAAATAAGATTTATTTCCCCATATTTTTCTTCCTGGGATTTACTGACTGTGTGGGGAGGTTTCCGAGTGCTTTTCCTCTGAACTATTCCTTTAGGTCCTATCTAAGTAGAATCCTTATGATGTTAACAACATGAAAGGTTGCACATAAGTCACCTGTGGCAAAACAATTCTAATTAGTCATTGACTTAAATGTGCCAGTTAACTAAAATACAACCTCGTGGGCCCTGATGGAACCAGAGACCAGCCGCTTGTGTCACAACAGAAACAGAAACAAAAATTTAAGGTTAAAACAAATTAGTTACAAAACAGCAATGGTCAAAGGATGTCCCCAAAAGAGAAGAAAACAAGCAAAGAACAATTGTAACCAAAGTGTTCTTTCACACAGAGGAGAGCTCTCAGGCAGAAACACACTCCCTCCCATGGGGACTCTGGGATTAGTCACAGTCTTACCCCCTTGCCAAGCGGGTACTGGGCTGTCTCCAGGCCAAGCCGCAGAGGGCTGAAAAGCCCAGAGGCCAGTGATAGAGGACTCCTGGTGTGCACACCGGTTTGACTTGCCCGGTCAGACTTGCGAGTCAGTCCCCCCCACTCCTCAGAGACCTGTTTCCTTCACCAGCTAAGCATCTCAGGCAGCTAACACCTAGAGAGGGAGAGAGGAAGAGTCCTGCAGATAAAGGACTCCTGGCAGGCGCTGGGAAGTCCCTGCCATTCCTGCCATGGGGGGTGAGCCTGCTACAAGTATCTGGGACCCTAGCTAAGTGGGGCATGCCCCCCTCTTATTCATTTCCCTTAGTAACCAACAAAACAGACAGCAAGAACATAGCACTATGGCGTATGTCTATAGGCAATGGTACAGTGTCGCTTCCAGAAAGATCTGGCTCTTGCAGAGACGGAGTCCCTGGCTTGGTTGCCTCTTGTCTAATCTACAGAGGCAGAGGCGCCTAACACCTCTGCAACCAGAGAAGTGTTTTTGATCTGGAACTGATCAGGCTCAGCCCGGACTTTCAGATTCAGAGAAAAAACAAACACACACACAAAACCCTTAATGAACTGACTCAATGCCTAAGGAGGCGATGGGGAGACCCATGACCAGGAGCGGACTCCTACAGGAAAAAGTCCTGGCAGCGCTGCAGGAAAGAACTCCAATCATGCCCTGGGACCCCCAGTCCAGGGAACCAGTGGGACTCCCACCCTTACCAGCCCCGTACCTGAGAGTCCCACTGCTGTCCCAGTAATTTGAAACGGGAACTGGAAGTTCAGCTGTCGGTGGCTACCAGAGTTATAAGTAGAAACAAAGTTGAATCTCTGAGGTGCTTCTATTCAGATGCTGGCCATGTAAGGCAGCAGGTATAACACCAACCCCCAAAAGCCACCCTCCTATCTCATTTCAAGCCAGCCATTATACAGGGTTAGAGGGTGGCAAAGAATCTAAAACTTACTTGAGTTCCCAGGATCTGTTTTCTGATCTGGTCCTTGTAAAGATTCACCCCAGACGTCTCTCTCCCTTCAGACAGGTCCTGTCCTTGATTTTCTTTCAAAATGCATTTCTCTCAGAGTGATTGGCCCATCTTCAAGGCTACTTATCTTTATTTTTCTTACAACATGTCCTCCACAGTTTTCCCAGAGTCTGTAAAAAAAAATCTCTCCTCTACAGTTAGTGCAGTGAATAGCTATTAGTCAACTGTGATTCTATTCTTATTGCTATCCTTCCCCTATCAGAATAAGATGAAAGTTTTTATTTAATTAACCAAGGCTTCAGAACATGGAATGGCCCCACAGGGCACAAGCAGATCCATCCTTACCCAGTCTAGTTCCCATGGTATCACTTCTTGCATAGCCATGCATCTAGCAACACTAAATTCCATATATATGTGTGTGTGTATATAATGTCTCCCTTTTTCCCCATTGACCCCCTCCAGCCTGCCCCAGGTCTTCACCACCCCATTGTCTGTGTCCATGGGTTATGCACATATGCATACAAGGTCTTTGGTTGATTACTCCCACCCATCCACCCGCACCCCCCACCCCCCCTTCCCTCTGGGTTTCTGCACTCTGTTCCATGCTTCCACGTCTCTGGATCTACTCCATTCATCTGTTTACTTTGTTACTTGGATTCCACATATGAGTGAGATTATGTGATACTTATCTTTCTCTGACTGACTTATTTCACTTAGCATGACACTCTTCAGTCCCTCCATGCTGCCTCAGAGGGTAAGAGATTCTTTTTTTAGCAACACTAAATTTCTTGGTGTCAGTCATGATTTTTTTTAGTACACATTCCATTCCGTTCATTCTGGGTGTTCAGCCTTTCAAACACGGAAGTGGTTTCTACTCATTATGTCCAGAGAACTCATTTCTCCTCACATGCTTTGGATTTCTGATCAAGTATTACCTTCTCAGACCCAGATTGCCTTATACAAAAGTATTCCAATCATTCCCTCTCTCTCCAATTCTATTTTCCTTCTCTTCAAAGTATGTATCACCATATAATTTGTCTACTTTTGATTGTTTGCCTCCCACCATTAGATTGTACATTTTTGAAGAACAAGGGCCCTCTCAGTTTTGTTCAGTGCTATATATCCCAAGAACAGAAAACAGTGGCCAATACATAGTAGTCCCTCAATAAATATTTAATACATGAATAAATGGGAAAACAACATTTTGTGAAGATGTGAAACGGTGTTATTTCAGACATGCTAAAGTTGAGAAGCTTGGAAACAAGGGTTAAAAAAGGAGAGTTAGGATTTACCCACTCAGGTGTGAAAAATGAAGCTAAACGAAACTGTGGGAGTAGATGAGTTCCTTCAGGTAAAGAGAAAGTGCTAAGAAAGAAGAAAATGGGACTGCGTAGAGCAGTGGTTCTCAACCTTCTGGCCCTTTAAATACAGTTCCTCATGTTGTGACCCAACCATAAAATTATTTTCGTTGCTACTTCATAACTGTAATGTTGCTACTGTTATGAATCGTAATGTAAATATCTGATATGCAGGATGGTCTTAGGCGACCCCTGTGAAAGGGTCGTTCAACCGCCAAAGGGGTCATGACCCACAGGTTGAGAACTGCTGGCATAGAGACTCTCCTAGGACCCCTTATTTTGGGGCGGGGGGCGGAGTATAAAAGAGAATTCAAGTTATGGGGAATAGGCTGTCAAAGACTAAGAAATGAATCCAAAGCAAAAGATGCTCAATTGAGCCCAAAATTACAAGGAAGACCAGCCAGATGAGGAGCAGGTGGGTTGGTAGGCACTAATAGGTCCCCTCTGAGAAACCAGTTGTGGAGTAGTAGAGCAGAAACCAAGTCTCAATACCTTGACATATGAAAAAGAGAGCAGGATGAAAAGGTGTAGAATCAAGATTCTCTTTTTGTGTCACCTGAGCTCCAAGAATACCTGAAATATTGGTTAAGTAAATAAGCCATAGATGAATAAATGGCTACAATTTTCTCTCCGCAGTTAAGATGGCACATACATTTTGGCTGAGGTCCTGGGGTTCGAATGGTGAACAACACAGTCTTTTCCATTGCACAGGTAGTGTAAAAATAGTTCCCTAATCAAAATCAACTCACTGAGCAGTTTTTGCCTCAGCAGTTTATTTTTGTAACTCCTTTTTAATGAGCTCCTATGACTTTCATTTTTACTTTTGCTTTGTGTTTTAGTTTAAAATGCATTCTTAGTTAAGGGAGCTTTTAGAGAGCTGCCTTGAGGCCCTCATCTCTGCGTCAGTAGGAACTGACTCTTGTGTTCTTTGGGATTGAGGGCCTCTCTGCTGTGCTCCAGTGACTTAGCTTCCCAAGGTTTGCCAGAGGGAACGCTGATGCATAAAGGAGTAGGTCCTAAAATAAACTAATGAAGGGCCTAGTTAGGAAGGTAACATGATAATCTGTGGACTATGAGAATCCACTCAGCTTTCCACCAGAAGAGCCACCCAATAGTGTATGAATAAGTATATTTCTAGTGGGGTTTTAAATGTAAAGTTATGATTCAATTTCTTGCTTTTCTGAACACACAGCAGAGGGTATCAGCATTGCCTAGAGCAGTGGTTCTCCGGAATGAGGCCCAGAAATCAGGATTTTAAAAAGATTCCCAGGTGATTCTAATGTGCAGCCAAGGTTGAGAACCACTGGCCTAGAGGGTTTCTTAAAACAGATTTCTGGGCCACACACTGCCTCATTTCTGATCCAGTAGTCTGGGGTGGGGCCAGATGTTTTGCATTTCTAACAATTTCTCAAGTGATCTGGATGCTGCTGGATACACTTACAAAGCCCACTGGTCTATGCAATCCATGTCATATATTTTTAATAACTTGTCCCCATAGTTTTCTGTTGTCCTTCACAGAAAAAGAGCCAAATTCACATTTCAGCTCTTTTGCTCTGGCTTCTGTCAGTTCCATTTGTGAGGAAAACAAAACAAAACAAAAAATGAACAAAGTGATGCTAGGAATAACCAACCCTGGATTTCTAGCCTTTTACTCATTTTTAGTGGAATGAAGGTTTTATCTTAGTCAATAAGATCTTAGTGCCTCTTAACAAATAAGAGCTTACCTGAATTATACAAAGGTGATACAACTGTCTAACACTAAAAAGTGATTCTCTTTCAATTACAAAATTTGTCTCCATTGAAGTCTCTTAATACTAGAAAAGGAAAATGGTGGTCATAAGATGACAGGAAAAAAAAATAAGACTCATTTCCCACACAGATTGTAGTTATTCCATTTATTATTTTGTTTTTAAGTCAAAGAAGAAACAGCACATCTAGAATCTAAATAATGTAGGCAGGCTGTAATGCTTATATTGGGATGTTTAAAAGGAATTGTTTTTCTTCCTCTGGTTTAATGTATTGACAAAGAGACACAGCATGATATCATAATTAGGGTACAATCTGACTCTGTGTGCAGAGCTGACAGGGCAACTCCCCTGAGGCTCTAAATGAGCTTCTCACTGCTCTGCACTTGAGCAATTCCAAACTGGTTAGGGCCACGTAGATTAAAACATTGGTAAGAACAAATTAATGTTCGAAGAGGTACCAGCTTTAGATTTTTGCTTGTCTTCCAGTTCTAAAAAGTAAAGATTAGAAATAAAATTAAGGCATTGCTCAACAAATAGTTTTGAATAAAATAAATATTAGCTTTTTTCAGAGATTTCATAACATTGATTTCTAAAGGACACACTCTTCTATTTATGCTTAATCTGCTATTTCTCCCACACAAATAAACTTTACTAGCTAATAAAGGCAAACTCAATATTAAACAAAATTCAAATGATAAAAAATTATCTATGCTTTTATCAAACATATTATATTGTCCAGCTATAATGTGTTTGGGATGAAATATATTGAAAAAAACACAGGGAGGTGGCCAAAACGGGGAGACAAAGCAACATGGTCCAAATGAAAGAAAAGAATAATACTCCAGAAAAAGAACTAAACAAGGTGGAGACAAGCAATCTACTAGATGCAGAGTTCAAATCACTGGTTATAAGGATATCAAGAAACTTAGCGAGGACCTCAACAGCATAAAAAATAACACAGTAAGAAATGAAGGATACACTAAGTGAAATAAAAAATAATTTACAAAGAATCAACAGTAGGGTAGGAGAAACCAAGAATCAAATTATCGATTTGGAATGTAACAAAGCAAAAATAAAATAAAATAAAACACCCAATAAGAACAGCAAAAAGAAAAAAGAATAACAAAATACAAGGATAATGTAAGGAGCCTCTGGGACAACTTCAGGCATACCAACATTTGCATCAGGTGGGTGCTGAAAGGAGAAGAGAACGAGCAAGAAATTGAAAACCTATTTGAAAAATAATGACAAAAAACTTCCCCAGTTTGGTGAAGGAAACAGACATATAAGTCCAAGAAGCTCAGAGTCCCAAACAAGATGACCCAAAGAGGCCCACACTAAGACACATCATAATTAAAATGCAAAAGTTTAAAGACAACAGAGAATCCTAAAAGCAGCAAGAGAAGAACAGTTAGTTACCTACAAGGGAGCTCGCATAAGACTATCAGCTGATTTCTCAAAAGAAACTACAGGCCAATATGGTACTGGCATAAAAATAGACACATGGACCAATGGAACAAAATCAAAAGCCCAGAAATAAACTCCCACGTATACTGTCAACTAGTATTTGACAAGGGAGCCAAGAATACTCTATGGGGGAAAAGATAGTCTCTTCAATAAATGATGTAAATATAACTGAATAGGTACATGCAGAAGAATAAAATTGCATCTCTATCCTATACCACTGAGACACACACACCCCAAAATATATTAAAGACTTAAACTTAAGAACTGAGATCTTAAAACTCCTAGAAGAAAACATAGGGGGGAAATTTTTGACATTGGTCTCAGTGGTGATTTCCTGGATATGACTGCAAAAGCACAAGCAATAAAAGCACATAAGTAAGGGGACTACATCAAACTAAAAAACTCTGCAGAACACAAGAAACTCAACAAAATGAAAGGGCAATCTACAGAGTATGAGAAAATAGTTACAAATTATATATCTGATAAGGGTCTATATCCAAAACATATAAAGAATTCATTTAACCCGATAGCCAAAAAAAACAACACACGTAACAATCTAATTTAAAAATGGGCAGAGGAACTGAATATAAATTTTTCCATGGACAACAGGTACATGAAAAAGTGCTCAACATCACTAATCATCAGGGAAATGCAATTAAAACCACAATGTGATATCATCTCACATCAGTTAGATGGCTATCATAAAAAAGACAACAGATAAGTGCTGGAAAGGACGTGGAGAAAAGGGAACCCTGGTGTAGTGAAATGCAAATCAATACAACACTATGAAAAACAGTATGCAGCTTCCTCAAAAAGCTAAAACTAAAAATATGATCCAGCAATCCCACTTCTGAGTACATATCCAAAGAAATTGAAATCAGGATCTTGTAGAAATATCTGCACTCTCATGTTCATTGTGGCATTACTTACAATAGCCAAGATATGAAAACAAACTGTCAACAAAGGAATGGATAATGAAAAGGTGACAATATTATTCAGCCATGAGAAATAAGGAAATCCTCCCATTCACTATAACTTGAGGGCATTACACAAACTGAAATAAGTCAGATACAGAAAGACAAATGCTGTGTGTTATCACTTATATGCAGAATCGAAAATAGATAAATTCAGAGAAACAGTAAAGTGATGTTTATTAAGCGTTGGGGTAGGGAAATGTTCAAAATGCACAAACTTCCAGTTATAAGATGCATAAGTTTGGGCATCTAATGTACAGTATGATGATTATAACTAATAATAATGCATTATATATTTTTTTGTTTTAAAAATTTATAAGGAATCTATTGGGGTGACATAGGTTAAAATTATATAGGTTTCAGGTGTACAATTCTATAATACATCATCTGTATATTATATTGTGTCTTCACCACCCCAAGTCAAATCTCCTTCCATCATCATTTACCTCCCTCTACCCTCTCCTACCTCCCCCAGTCCCCTTTCCCTCTGATTATCACCATATATTTTAATGTTCTTAAGATAGTAGACCTTAAGTGTTCTTACCACAAAAAATGAAATAATGTAACTATGTAATGGAATGGAGGTGGTAGCAAATACTATGGTGACAATGATTTTGCAATTTTTTGCAATGTATTTAATCACATCTTGTACACTTGAACATAATGTCATATATCAATTACATCTCAATAAAGATAGGAAAAAACATTATACTATCATAGAAATAAATTCTTATATACAAATCTAGTTAGTATTGGATGATTTAGATATGAACAAAGAATAAGAGGAGGTCTCATGCTCATATTCACACAAAAAAGCACCATTTACCTTTGATGGAGAAACAAATTCAACACATTCTATCCATATGCCTAAAAATGCCTTTCCACATATTGCACATTTTCTTCCCTTAGAGATTATGTCCCAAACCTCTGGGTACCATTCTATGGCTTCCATTAGGAAAGGATTCCTTTCTGTCAGCTCATTCACTACAAATCTTGATGTTATTTCCTAGATTAAAAAAAAATATGATTCCTCAAGATAATTTTCAAAATAACCATTCTTTATTATTCCTCACAGTGTCTGTTAAATTAATTTTTCAAAGTGTATATAAAAAGTATATTGTCAATAATTGGCATTATAAATAAGTTTAGTTTTCAACAATATAAGAAAAGCAACTTACTCCTATTTTAAAATTTCCATATTTTTTATATACAGGAATCCAAGTTATAATAAACTTACATTTTTAAAGTTTAGTTTAAATTGTGTACCTCTTATTACAGTAAACAAGGACTGTACAAATATTCAGACTGATTTGAAAATTGAGTCTATCCTATTTACTAGTGTCTAAATTCTTACCACTAAAATTGTGGATAATGAACCAATAGAATTTGCATCATCTGGAAGCATATTGAAAATTCACTCTCAGGTGCACTCCAGACTTACTGAATTAGAATCTGCAATTAACAAGTTTCCTGAGATAATCTCTTTGCATGTTAGAGTTTGAGAAGCATTAGTTTAAGTTACCTACTGCAATGAGTACCTAGGTAGAGCCATATTGGTAAAGAATACTTATTTCTATTAACCAAATCTCTGAATCCTCTGAATTCACTCTGTATTAAACCTATCCACACAGGTATGTTCAGAAACTTCATTTATGGTAATAATATTATTAGAATATCTATATATATAAAAGCCTAAGAGATCCAATGACTGAATGATCGGTCAACCGGTCGCTATGACATGCATTGACTACCAGGGGGCAGGAGCTGCTGAGCGACAGCAACTTTGAAGAGTGCCCTCTCGCACTCCAGGACCCCTCGGGGGATGTCAGACTGCCAGTTTTGGCCTGATCTCCACAGGCTAGGCTGAAGGACCCCCACCTGCCAGAAGGACCCTGCTCACTCCGCAGACGCCCTTCGAGCCCCAGCACCACCCCAGATGCGGCCAGCCAGGGAGGGACCACAGGAGGCATGTCCGGCCCATCTCACCCAGTCCTGCCCCGCCAGCCACCTTCTAATTAATGTCCTTTCAATGTCCACAAATCCGTGCACTGGGCTTCTAGTTAAATAATAAAAGGGGTGGGGAGGAAATATATAGAAGCTGACTTTCATCATGACAATCAACATCATCTTACAAGTAAAAAATTAAAAAAAAAAA